TACGGCCTCCGCCCCCCTACACAACCATTTTCCTCGAAGGCCTTTCGGAATGCAGATTGGCATGCGTGGACTGTGGTCCACTACTTCAGTGGAGCAGTGAATTCGTCAAGGCCTGGGGCCTGCTAGAACCATCGCGCGCGCGAAGCGCGCGCGATGGTTTTTTTTTTTTTTTTTTTTTTTGTTTTTTTTTTTTTTTTGTTATATATATATATATATATATATATATATATATAGATATAGATCCCAGGGTGCGAGGGCCAGGACCCCGGGACCGCGACCTCGACGGCGCATGGCGGTGCTGGGGCCTCTGGGTGCTTCCGGGGAGGCCCCCGAGGGCGCCGGAGGCCGCCGAACAGATTAAGAGGATGCGCAAGCTTCGAAATGCTGCTTGAAGACGCCGACGATGGCTCCAAGAGGGTTCCTGGGGGCCCCGAGAGCCCTCCCAAGAGGGTCCCGAGAGCCCTCCCAAGAGGGCCCCGAGAGGCAAAAATGGCCCCGTTCCCGTCGGACAACGTAATTTGTTTCATGGATTCGCCTCTTGACCTTCCAGGGGGACGAAGTCGACCCGAGAGGCCGCCAGGATCGCCCCAAGACAGCCCGAGAGGGTTGGAAGACAGCCTGAAAGGGCCCCCGGCTAGCCCGAGAGGTCACCGAGACGGCCCGAGAGGGGCCTGGGGCGGCCCCAAGCAGGGGCCCAGAGAGGATGCCCCGCGAAGATTTCAAGCCCTCCGTACCCAGAGGTCCCAAGGAGGCCCCAAGAGCCCCTCTTCCGAGATGCCCCCCCAAACCTTTCAAGAAGCTCCCTAGAGGCCCCCGAACAGCCCCCTGACCAGACGCCCTGGCCACTCTTCGCTTCCCGAGGCCCGAAACGGGGCCCGGGGCCGTCGAACATTTGCGACGAAACACCGGGCCCATTGAAGGTCTTCGGACTTCGGGCCCACTCCAGGGACCCTGCGTTGACAGGATGACGTACCAGTCCCGTGGAATGCGCTGGACTTCCAGGGCACGACGTGTAGCGACCCGTGGTGCTGATGAGAGTGGTCGTGGATTCGCGGCAGTGGCAGTGGCAATGGTAATGGTATTGGTGATGGTACATGCAGAGGTTCAACCAATGGCCGTTATAGTGGTCGCGGAAAGTGCAATCGTCGTGAATGGGGTGGTCATGCCCAGAAAAGACATGGAATCGGAAGTGGTCGTGGCCGCGGTGATGGCGGAAAGGGCGGTGGTAGCCGTGGCGGCATTGGCGGTGTGAAGCGTGGTCGCGGGAGTGACTAGAGCCTGAGCGCGCGCGAAGCGCGCGCGTGGTTCTAGTGTATATACATGTATAGACATGTATGTATGTATGTACGTATATATGTATATGTGTATGTATGTATGCATGCATATATATATATATATATGTATTTGTATATTCATATGTCTGTGTATATGTATATATACGCATATGTATATGTATATATGTTTTTGTATATGTCTAGGTATACGTATATGCATATGTATTTGTACATGTATATGTACATGTATTTGCATACGTACATGTATATGTAGCTGTACATGTATATGTATATGTATATGTATATGTATATGTATATGTATATTCATATGTATATGTACATGTATATGTTTATGTATGTGTATATGTGTATGCATATATATATATATATATATATGTAGATGCATGTATATATGTGTATGTATATGTATATGTACATGTATGCGTATATGTATACGTATATGCATATGTATACGCATATGCATATGCATATGTACATGTACATGTATATGAATAGGTATATGCATATGTATACGTATATGTATGCGTATATGTATATGTACATGTAAATGTATATGTATATGTTTATGTATATGTATATGTATATGTATATGTATATGTATATATGTATATGTATATGTATTTGTATATATATATATATATATATGTATATTTATATTTATATGCATATGCATATGTATAGTTATATGCATACGTATAGGTATATTTGTATGCATGTATGTATGTATGCACGCATGCATGCATGTATGATTGTATGGGTGTATGAATGTATGCATGTATATATATATGTATGTATGTATGTATGCATGCATGCATGCATGCATGCATGCATGCATGCATGTATGTATGTATGTATGTATGTATGCATGCATGTATGTATGTATGTATGTATGTATGTATGTATGTATGTATGTATGTATGTACGTATGTGTATATATACATATATGTATACATATTTATGTTTGTATTTGTTTTTATATATATATCTATATATATATATATATATATACCCCGTGCACGAGGCCCGGGCGCCCGGGGCCCGGGGCTGAAGCGCGCGTTGGAGGGCCAGGGTTTCCCAAACCGCTCCCAGAGCACCCTGGAGCGGCCCCAGAGCTCCCAGACTGCGCCGCAGAGTTCCCAGAAACGCTTGGGGACTTGGACAAGCCCCTCCAGGACAGCCCAGATAGCCCCGACGTGGCCCTACATGGGTTCGAGACCGCAAATGCACGGCCCAGGAGGCCTCCAAGAGGCCTCAAGAGAGCTCCGAGAGGCATTCCGAGAGAACCCGAAGAGGCCCAAATCTTTGATTTCAGTGTGATTCGATGTTTTTTCGGCGTCTCGCGTTTTCGACCTTCGGGCGCTCCGCGACGGCCCGCGGCGCCCCCGAGAACGCCCCGGGGCCGCCGAAGAGGCCCCCGACAGAGCCCCAAGAAGGCCCCAGGGAGCCCGAAAATTGCCCGGGTGGAGCCTCAGACGGCCCAAGAGAGCCCCAAAACAGGCCCAAGCTTGGCCACGGAGCGGGGGCGGGGGGCCCCATGGCAGTCCAAGACGTCCCCGATGGCCCCAACGTGGCCCCAAATGGGCCCAACGCGGCGAATGCGCAGACCGAGCCCCCCGAGAGGGCTCGAGAGAGCTCCGAGCGGCGTCCCGAGAGAGCCCGAAAAGGCCATACCTTTGTCCCCCCGTAGTTTTCAATGTTTTCCGCTTCCTCGCGTTCTCGAGCTTACGGCGCTCCAAGACGGCCGGCGGCGCCCCGAAGACGCGCCGAATATCGCCCCGTGACCGCCGAAGAGGCCCTGGAAAGAGCCCCAAAACGGCTCTGGAGAGCTTTGGGAATGCCCGAGAGCAGCCCAATACTGCCCGAGAGAATCCCAGGAGAGGCCCAAGATGGGCCCCGGAGCGGGAGCGGGGGGCGCCGAGGCGCTCCAGGACGGCCCAGATGACCCCGACGTGGGCCAAGATGAGCTTAAGACGGCAAACGCACGGCCCAGAGGCCTCCAAGGGGACCCGAGAGAGCTCCGAGAGACGTCTCGAGAGAACCCGAAGTGGCACATTCCCATTTTTCATATCTGTTCACTGTTTTCCGCTCTCTCGCGTTCTCGAGCTTCCGGCGCTCCGAGAGCCGAAGGCGCCGCCGAGACCGCCCCGAGACCGCCGACGAGGCCCCCGAATGAGCCCCAAGACGGCCCTAGAGAGCCCGAAAATTGCACAGGAGGGGCCCTGGGCGGCCCGACAGGCCCCAGGACGGGCCCAAGATGGGCCACAGAGCGGGGGCGGGAGGCCCCGGGGCGGTCGAAGATGGCCCAGATGGCCCGGGCCTCCCCCTTCCGCCCCTTCTTCCCTCCTGCCCCCTCCCCCCCCTGCCTCGATTCCCTCCTGTCTCTCCTCGCCCCCCCCCGTCGCCCCTCAGCCTTCGTGCTCCTCCCGCCTTTCCTGGGGCGGCCCCGCCAGAGCGCCGGGCGGGCCCCGCCAGAGCGAGCGGGGCATCGCTATGCCCAATCACTTTACAAGTTGATTTGCCCCTCCCACCCTTCAAGGGCGGCCCCGGCAGAGCGAGAGGGGTGTCGCTATTCCGTATACAGCCCCTGTTCTTAATTATTCTCGCACCGCGCCCGAGGTGGCCCCGTCAGGGCGTGCGGGTGTGGCCGTGCAAGAATTTCCCCAAGGTTTCGCTCCGCCCGCCCTTGCAGGGCGGGCCCGCCCGAGCGTGCAGGGCGTGGCTACGCCATGCAATTTCTCAGGTTTCGTGCCCGTGCCCCACCTCCTGAAAAGCTTCGCCCGAGCGCCGAGATGGTTCCGCCAGAGGCACCGTCAGAGCTCCAGACAGCCCATGCGTGGGACTTTGCAAGCAAATCATTGAGCCTCTCCCGTGAGCCCGAACCCTCGGATCCCGCGGGTGCGACTGTCGCCTGCGTGAGGTTTGGTATCCAGCGCAGGGGGGCTTCCCTACTCCCGTGGGCGGATGCGACAGCAATTCATTGCAGGGGGGTGCACTGGTGACCGGGACATGTGCGCGCGCCCTTTGCAGGTGCCCGACAGCTGAACGACCGCTGAAAACGAGGGGCCTGGGGCGCAAGGAAGAGGGGACAAAAGCAACGCGCTCCCGCGCGCGCGCGGCGAGGCGCCGAGCCGACCCCGACATCGGGGGCCGGCGGATACTTGCGCGATCGGGCATGGGGAGACCGAACATATGTGCACAAGCATTGAGTGTCACGACCGGGCGCAGCGGAGGTCTGCACGTGGAGGAAACACGTTTTTTTTTTTTTTTTTTTTTTTTTTTTTTTTTTTTTTTTTTTTTTTTTTTTTTTTTTTTTTTTTTTTTTTTTTTTTTTTTTTTTTAAAAAAAAAAAAAAAAACATATTATTTTATATATATATATAAAAACATGTATAGGTGAGGTATAATGCAGGCGTGGGTGGGTGCATGATGAGCGTGCGGACAGATCAGAGACAGGAAGGGTGCAGAAACTATTTCATTTCAGCCTTCGGTCCAAGAGCGCTTCGAGAAAGGCTAGCATCAGCAGATTACGTAGATTGCAACATGGTGGCGGAGCGTGGTTCCCGCTGATCCACGGCAGCAGCAGACGCCAATGGAGATGGCGACGGTAGCGCAGTTGGCGGCGGTCCTGCGGCAGGTCGAGCAAGAAGGAGCACAAAGGCTTGTTGCGGTAGAGCAGGCGGTCCCAGGTGGCGGCGGCAAAGCCAAGGGACAACGGAGATGGACTGGGGCAGCATATCGACCCTCGTGCTGAACAAGTGTCCGATATTCAGCGGGAAGGACGAGCAGTGGCAGGAGTGGTCCTTCATCTTCGAGGGCGTGCCTGGAATGGCACAGCTAGAGAACGCCCTAGACTGGGCGAGCAGAGGTTACATCGACATGAAGTCCAAGCAGGTCTACTACCTGCTGGTCAATATTGTGCGCGGCAAAACTCTGACGTTTGTGCGAGGTTCGGAGACGCACGACGGAGTCGTGGCCTGGGAGAAGATCAAGAGCGAGTGCCAGCCCGACGTTGGAGGAGTACATACGGCGTTATTGATGGGGGTCCTTCAGCCAGGATGGGGCCCGCGACGTGCGGGACAGGGGCGGATGATTCGATGGGGCGGGGGGCCCGCGTCGGAGAGTGCGAGGTGGGGGGCGCTGAGAAGGTTGATGAGCAGATGAAGATTGCAGTGCTGGCGGCTCGTGCGCCGGAGCCGATGCGAGCAATGTTGAGATTGGAGACGGGGCCAGCGAACGGGCAGTGCAGAGAGGTGCAGCAGAGCATCAAGGAGTGTTGGGATATTGGGAGATCCTTCGACCGCGATGGCTGCGGAGTCGGATCTGAGCAATGATCTGGACGTATTCCCTTGGGCGTCGACGTGGCCTGGGGCGGAGGAGGCAGGGGCAGAGGCGAAAGAAAGAGCAGCTGTTTCATGCGTGGACGACCTGGGCATCGGGCAAGAGACCGCAGGTTGGCAAACGGGAATGGAAAAGGCAGGCGGCAGTGAGGTCGAGGTCGAGGTCGCGGACAGCCAGGGCCCGCGACCAAGTTCGAAGGCGAGTGTAGGCATTGCCACAAGAAGGCCACAAGTGGGCAGAGTGCAAGTCTCGTCTCCGATGAGGGCCTGCCAGCGAAGAAGGTGCGCGAGGTTGCCGACCCAGCCAAGGCGGTCGTCGAAGAGGTTCACGCCGAGAATGATTCAGATGATGAGTGCGGCTGCCACGCGTGCAAGTCCGACCACCGCGGCGAGTATCGCGACGCGGAGGGCCAGTGCGAGAACGCAGATTCCTATGGCGAGAGCGCAGAGGGCCATGATTAGGAGCAGTGCGATGTCGACGCGACCGCGGACGACAACCCCGCCAGGCTGGGCTACTTCGAGCGCGTTGATGACGACGACCACGACGGCGAGGAGCAAGAGGATCGGATATTTCACGTATGTCAAGAAGTACGAGCAAGGAGGTAATGAGTTTCTCCTACTGGACAGCGCATGTGAGGATCACACCTGCCTGTTGGACTTCAGTGAAGATGGGGTTTACGTGGGGCCTGGACGCGTGCGGCTCCGAGCTGCGAACGGTGGGCGCATCGTGCCGGGGAGAGGGGTCGCGGTGTTACGCGCGATCCTGAGCAGCCACGGCGAGACGATTACCAATGCGAAGACTCCGTTTGTGCAGAGCGACGTGAAGAGACCATTACTCAGGGTTGGCAATTTGGTTTCGAATAGAATCGACGTGGTGTTCAAGAGAGGCAGTCCATGGATCGAGGTCGACGCCGATCGAGGGCGCAAGAGGGTTCCAGTCTACATGCAAGGCAAGACGTTCGGACTGGGGATCGACGTACCATCTCTATCGACAAGCCGACTGCGACGGTTGCGCCAGTCGATGAGGAGGCGCAGCCGGCGCGAGACAAGCCGAATCGATCGACGCCAGAAGGAGCTTTAATGCAGCGGGGCCCGCGGCAGGGCCAGCATTGCCACCGGTGGCAGTCGCAGGAGCACCAGAAGGGCCAGATCCAGAAGCACCAGAGAATGTGCGACTCGATCGAGAAGCACGGCAGTTAGCGCAACAATGGCTTGAAGTCCGACATCATGGAGAACCCATTGGGCGCGGAAGCTTGTTCAGCGGCAGTGGAGTCGAGGGCGCGAGGAAGAGGTTGGGGGAGCTCAGGGCCCCACCCCGGGGAACCAAGCAGCAGCTATAGGGGCGTTTGGTGCTTGCAGAGGCGAAGCTCGTGCTCGAGATGCGCGATGCGAAGTGGCTGAAAGAACGTGCTGGAGAGTTGACAGAAGCTGGAGGTCACTGGGACATCATCTTTCCACGGGCACCTGCAGAGCCATCACGGGAAGAACGATGACTTCATGAGATCGCGCACCTGCCGTCCCAGCCGTTGTGTGCGCGGTGTGTTATGAGTGCAGGGCGCGCGAAGCCCCGCGATCAGAGGGCCCGAGGAGTCGAAGAGGAAACCAGAGTTCGAGATGGACTTCTGCTACCTACTGCAGGATCCAGATCAGGCGCGGGCGACCGCGCTGGCGTTGGTAGATACGGCATCACAGAACGCCATGGCAATGGCAGTCCCTCACATCTCAGATCAGACAAATATTTCATCTCATCAGCCTGCACGTCGTTTGCGAAACTGATGTCCTACGAGAGTGCGATCCTCAAGATTCATCCTGATTCAGCTCTTGGAGTTATTGCGGAAAGGTGCGGCAGAAGTGCATGTTGGGCGACATCAAGATCGATATCCAGAAGTCACCGAGGTTCAGCGGCCAAAGCGTGTGGGCAGTTGGTCGAGCTCAGCAGAAGGTCAGATCAGGACACTGCGAATGAGATTGGGAGGACGAATGGGAACGGAGATCAACCAGTCAATGGATATTGCCCTGGATGGTGAGGCGCGCTGGTTGGGTTATTGAACGGTATCACGCGAAGGCGAACCAGGGGGCAGCATTCGAGGAAAGCTTCTGCGAGAAGTGCCGGGGCGAGGCTTTGAAGTTCGAAGAATCTGCACTGTTCAAGCTCGCTTGCAGTTGCGGCAACTGGGGAGCTGCGTGCAGGGGTTAGGCAGGGCCGAACAGATGCGAGACTCGTCTGAGGAATCTGGCTTGGAAAGGCGGTTGAGTCGGATGAGCATCTGTTCGGGGCAGACGAGGGCGTGTTCACCGCTGGGGCGGTGAAGCGTGTGCCAGCGACGGACCAGGTGATGGCCGACCTAGTGAAGGGGATCAAGGGCGCGCCGTGGGACAGGTGCGGTCGGAGAGCTATGGGAAGGCCAGGGGAGAAGAGCCGAGCACCTGCCCCAGTACCAGTCACGTTGCCGGTGACGCCGTCACCTGGAGGGGGCACGCCAGCAGCAGAATCTCAACCATAACCAGGACTATCGGCGCCAGGTGACCAGCAAAAGCAGGCAGCTGCAGCGCCGGGTGCGGCCAGGTCAGAGCTGCCGCAGGGGTGCAACATGGAGCAGTTGAGGATAGGTAAGACTACCTCGCTGACGTTGCCGGGCGCGAGCAGTGTTGCCAAGAGAGAGGTCGAGAACACTGGCGTGCAGGCGGACGGTGGAGGCAAGAGAGCCAGAGTGGAAGAGCTCACGACGATTAACGAACTAGAGAATGTAGCTGATTTTGACGATGCGAATTACGAGAACTAGAAGTACGACGGGTGCCAGGGCGCCGACCCAGAGGTGGTGAAGTCCATCCTCAAGGGCAAGGCTAAGGATATGGGTGCCATGGGTGAGTTCGACATTTTTGATGCAGTGGAAAGTTTACCAGAGGGAGCATATGTACTGTCTACGAGATGGCAGAACGTACCGCGAGGACCTGAGGAATGGAGATGCAGATTTGTGGTTCAGAGGCGAAGCTATTAAATTGGAAGGTCTGTTCACTGCTGGAGCGACGAGCAGCGCAGGAAGGCTCGTCGACCAGCACGCGGTGCAGCGCGGCTATAACACTATGGTTGTGGGCGAACAGAACGCCTACTTCCATGCGGAGGAGGGCGAGGGAGTCTACGGGGATCCGCGTCCGCCAGCGGAATGGGCCAAGAGGTGCCGCGCTCGAGGCGGACAGTATATGCGACCTAGGTGGCAACTGAAGAACCAGCTATATGGCAAGCGCAAGGCTTCCAATAAGTTCAACCAGTACGTGATTGACAAGACGAGTGAGTTAGACATCGAGCTGTGCCCCGAGCAGACCGGCATCTTCAGAAGGCCAGGTTCAACATTAGTGTTTCAGGTTCGTCAAGATGATGTTTACGCGTCAGGGGGCGGCGCCGAGTTGAATTGGTTGAAGGAGAACTTTTGGCCAGTTCTCAAGCTGAAGGAAGCAGATATTATGGTGGTTGGTTCAGTCTTCTCTTACTTGCGAGCTACGCGGACAAGAGTCAGTAATCGCGTAATCTTTATTGCACCGGGGAACAAGTGCATCGAGGATATTTTGACCGAGTTAGGTCTCGCAGATTGCAATCCAGTGCCGACCCCGGTAGTGCAGGCGAGACGGAAGGAGGAGCTGGAGTTGCCAGTTGCTTTTTCTTCGGACCGCAAGACATTCAACAAGTGTGTAGGGATTTTGATGCACCAGCTAAAGTATCGACCTGATATTGGTTCACTGTTCGTGTGTTGAGCAAGGCGTTGGGTGCGCCAAGAGATCCAGACATGCACGGATTGATAAGGTGCGCGAGGTACCTGAAGGGCACCCATGACTACGGCATCTTGGTTGCCAAGGGCAATGGTTGCCAAGGGCAATGACACAGACTGCCCGGGCACGTACTCAGACGCCGACTGGGCAGGTGATGCCCGAGGCCGCAAGAGCACGTCAGGGTTTACGTTGAGGTTTGGTGCAACAGCGCTGATGGAGTTTTCGAAAGGACAGAGCTGCCGGGCACTTTCAGGCGGGAGAGTGAGTGCTACGCGGCGTCACTTCGGTCGCCGAGGCCATCCCTATGCAGGGGCTTTTGGAGTTCATAGGGTTTCCAGTCGAGATTACATTGCGATTGGGTTCCACGGCAGCCAAGAGGATTGTTTTACGCACAGGTTGCGGATCACAGAAGCACCGCTAGACAAAGCTATTGTGGCTTCAGAGCAAGGGCGAGGAGAAGAAGGTGAAAGTCCACGAGGAGCCGAGTGTGACCAACATCGTTGACGGCTATGCGAAGGCATTCCAACCTGCCAAGTTTCCGGAATGGAGGTCCCGACTTGGAATGGACTTCGAGAGCGGCGACGAGTTGCAGACCGGCGAGAAGGACGCGATGAGTGGCAGCGGCATGTGGGCCGCAGTTTCTCACGACGGGCCGAGGGCGTTGCTTGCGGCGGCGATGATATTCAGCGAGACGAAGGCCGACAATCACGTGTTGGTGGTGGGGGATTCTTGCGAGATGGAGTTGGTGGAGAGCATCAAGTGCGATAGCTTTTTTACTTGTTGGTTCGTTGGGGACGTGGCTTCATATCGTTGGGATGATGAATGGTATGGCGATTGGTTGCTATGGCATGTTCAAGATAATGTAGCTCGAGAAGGTTGGGAAGGTGTCCCTTGAGGCCGTCGGGG